AAGCCCTTTTGGGAAGCATCAACAGTTGCTTAATGGGGAGAACATGGAGGCCCTTTTTTGCGAGCTTCCCAGAGGAATCCAGTAAGTGGAATGCTGGACTAGGAAGAGGCCCCACTTTGATCTGAGCTAGCAGGGCGTTTCTGAGATAGAATCTTTAAAGCTTCCCTTGCTGAACATTTCCATGCACGCTGGTGCCACCTGCTGCTGCTTGGTTGCAGTGTTGCACTTTTGCTAGGCTGAGCGACCTCAAGGGAAGAGTGCTGCACCATGGACTGTGCATGAAGCACATAGGGAACAACAGCGGAAACGGCTTTGGATTCTTCATCTTAAGTGGACTGTGAAGGGCTGGGGTGCTCCTGTGGCTGACTGGCACTGGTGCTGCTGTCATGAACCTGCCCCCAGCTCCTGTGTAGTGCTGGAGAAGCACAGCATGGTTAGCTTGAGCCTGGGTTCAAAGCAGACAGCAGAAAAGCAACCTGACAGAGCCATCAGTTGCTCCACTGAAGGCACTTGGGCCAAGTTCACAGCAGAGTGATGTAAGAGCATCAGAGGAGTCTGGCTGCAGCTGGAATGGGCCAAATGAGGCTCATCTAGTCCAGCATTGTGATCTCACACTGGCCAACCAAATGCCTCCTATGGGAAGCCCAAAAGCAGGACCTGAGCGCAACAGAACCGCCTCCCCCCCCCCCCAGGTTACCAGCAACTCAAATTCAGAAGCATTGCTGACTCACAGTCATTGGAGGCAGAGCACAGCTGCCATGATTAGTAGTCTTATTTCCCATGAATTTATCTGATTCCCTATTAAAGCCATTCATTGGAGGGAATCACTGACACTTATGGGAGTGAGCTTCATGAAGAAGTACTTTCTTTCGTTTGCTCTGAATCTTCCAGCAAGCATCATTGGATGTCCACAAGTCCTACTATTATGCAAGAGGGAGGAAAAGCTTCCGTGCATAATGTTACACACATCTCTATCATGTCCCCCCCTTTTTCTGAACTTAGTCACCTTCTCTGTAAACTAAAAGGCTGCAAATGTTTTAACATTTCTTCCTAGGAGAGTTGCTCCAGCCCCTTGACCATTTGGTCGCCCTTTTCTGAACTCTTTCAACTCTACAATATCCATTCTGAGGTGAGGGGACCAGAATTGTCCATGTGCAGTCACACCATAGATGTGTAGAACACCATCATTGTATTGGTTTAATTTGCAATTCACTTCCATAAAATTTAACATAATGCTTGGTTGGAATAAAAATACTCAAAGCTGTTTGCTTTGAATGGTAGCTGTCTGTTGTGCACTTTTCATTTCTTTGCTCAGGACCTTGTGAGCCTAAGGGTGGGGTGGGGTGGGGTGGGGTTCAGGCTCAGTTCCAGGTGCTGTTGCAAAAGCTGAAGTCAGTTCTTCCTGTTGGCTTCCAAAAGTGGTGGGATCTCAAATATCAGTGGCTCCCTCTGCGATGCCAAAACCCGGTATCCCCCCACTTTCTCTTGAAGGTCATACTTGTGGCCAAGGTTGACTATGCCTGTATATGCACACACACAAACTGGGCTATAAATGGGCTGTATATGCCATGGTGGTCCATATACAACAAGAAGATATGATGAGACTTGTTACTTGCGGATTTTCAGTAACCCAACCATATGAGCTGGTGTCCTGGCCAAGACTGATGTTAAAATAGGTAGTGTGTGCATGGGTGGGGGTGAAGAAATATTCTTATCCAGTTAGAGGCTAAAGTGATGCTCTTCATGTGCTTACCCCAGGAGCCAGCAAGCACCAAGTTTAGGCAAAGGGGAATTGGGTGCATGCTTAGTATTTGAGGGCCAGGAAGACATTAGGCAGACTCATATCCAGCCTAGAGTGGACACTGGCCACCGTGCAAGCTTAATTTCTTGTAACAATGCTAATGAATCTGTGTTTCTTGCCTCTGCTCATGCAAGGTCACTGGGGTCACTGCACAAACTTGTATTGAGCCAATCCAGGCCAGAGAGCAACAACACACAAGAGAGACCCATTGTGGATTGCAGTCCTGGTTGAAAATTAAACGGCAGCAGCCAGAGAAGAGAGAGGGGAGGTCCCCATTGGGTGTGGTGGGAGCAGGAACATGGGTCCTTGCACACTTGCTCAATCAGTAAAGGCAGCACCTGGTTTCTCCCACTAGGCATGGGCAGGAAGGGGCACCACAGGCAGGGAGAACTGAGGAAACAGCCTACTTATGAGCCCATCATGGTGACATTCCATTAGCTTTGCTCGGAGCCAATTCCAGTGGAAGAGCCATCTGTCTCCCTCTGCCCTTGAAGGGGCAATCAATAGCCTGTAACAATGGCCCTCCCACACTCTGGCACCAGGGCCTCCATGAAGGATCCACACACTCTGAACAACACACACACACAAAACATCCACGGGGTGTGTGGAACAGTTAGACATTAGACTCCTCCTGACAAAGCCATTAGCCTTAATTTAGATGGGTGCTGGCTAAGAACAATATGAGGAGGGGGCAGCTGGTCACCCTTCCCTGAGACTCCAGGTACAGAATGAGACTTTCTGAGCCCCAGGGCTGTTTTTGCCATAAAACTAACCCCTCTTCTGATGCTTGACTGGGCAGTCAATGATTGACAGACCTTGAGAACAAAGAGCTTCTCATTCCTAACTGGCACTTGGATGATTGAGGTGCAGGTTTGTGTGTAATTTGGGGAGAGGGCGATTCTGGCACTCAGCATCTGTTGCCTGGGACTCAGCACCACCACTGGCAACTTAAGGAAAGATGCTGAGGCCCCTCCTTGGTGTTTGTTTACATTCACACTCCTTTCAGCTCTCCCTCCGATAAGAATAAATCTGTCTGCTTTGAAGTAAGCAGGGGGCAGGCATCAGATTATTTTCTGTTTTGCAGAGGAAATGAATAGGCCAACCCTCTGGAAGTTGCTGGTGTAGATCTTGCTCTCTCAGCCCCTATATTTATGGCGTTTCCGCCACCATTCTGTTTAACCAAACATTCAAAGCAACTTAAAACAATACATATATACATATTTATACACACATGAAAATGAATCTAGCAAAGCAACCAGAAACTGCGAGAGAGATCTCCAATATAGGGAAGGAAGAGTGGAAATTTATTGTTGTTGTTGTTGATTATTATTTAATCTCTATACAGCTTAATATATTTAAAAAATATCTCTTAAGCGGTGTACAGAAAACAGAAACAACAACAGATAACTAAAACAAAATATTACAAAAATACACAGTTACATTAATACAAAGTTACTAATATAGAAAAAGCATTATCATTTCATTTTCCTTCTGATACAACCTGCCTCTCAGCCTCTGGGTTATCACCTAGAGTCCAAACAAACTCTCATCTCACCCACAATGAGAAGAGTTCACGGAAACAGTAAGCACTAGCCTAATTTCTCACTCCAGACTTGCTTTCTTTGGACAAAGCCAAGGTGGATGGTACTTCCTCAGGCTGCCCCCATCTGTGTCCCATTCAGCTGCCCTCTCCACCCCTGGTTCCAGGGACAGCAGGTTTGTTAAGTTTCCCAGCCTGTCCCTCTGCTCACAGCTCTTTCTTTACCCTCTGTCCTCTCCTCCTCTTCTTCAGCAGCCTCAGCTGAAGCAAAAAACACATTGGGTATCTGCTGTAGCCCCACTGCCCCCATGCCATCATTACACTGAGTTGCTGGAAGCCCAGGAAGGACATAGAGGGGAGTGAAGTCACACAAAGCTTTCTCTGCTCTTTTGCTGAAGCTCAGAGAAAGCTGGCAAGGCTGGAGGGGGGGCAATGGCCGTTTTGATGCCTTGGCCGCTAAGGGTTTGACCGCACTTTAAGCTGGGACTGGCAGAGGTCATCAGTCAAGATGGCCAAAACAGTTTACACCCCAAATCCAGGCTGGAAACCAGATTGGAAAGGACCCAAGGGATGGGTCTCAACCGGAAATGCCTCAGCTGGGCTGCCATTGTTTGCTTAAGAACTTCACCCAAGAGCGATACATTTGAGGTAAGCTAACAAAGAGGTCAAAAATACTGGCCCAAAGGCTGCTTCTCTCTCCATTGAGTAGCTCAGTCACCCCAAGAGCTAACTCAATAAACTCTGGCAACAGGGATAGGCCATGCAAGCAAGTGGCAGGACTCACCTCTTCAGGTATTCTGCCCACATCCTCAGGCCAAGGAAACTGAACCGTGGTCTTATGAACCTGACAAGCGGAAATCATGGGACCATCCTTAATAGCAGCATCTGTGAATAATGTGGAGTCCAAGCTGGAGCAGATATGATTGATTTTTATCTGCAAAGTGGTTTGCAAACTGGTTGCAGCAGAATGTGAAGGCTCCTCTGTCCCCTACCAGGGACCAGCATGCAATTTCCATTCAGAAAAGCACCACTGCCAGCCTGCACAATTCATTACTGATGCAATGAGAGCTTCCTTTGCTGCCATCATTGCCATGGGGCTGTGGCTCCTTCTCAAGCAGTTCCGGCATGAGATTCCTTACACCACTGATCTTTCTACCTGTGCCCCGGTAGGTTGCATCTTTTTAGGAGGTGAAACTTATTTTTTGCAAATTTATTCAGTAAGGGGTCTTAAAAATATGTTTTTGGGTGTGAGGAATTCACATCTGCTATTGTTTTTGTGACTGAGCAACATTTAGCTTGGCAAATCTATGTTTGATTAAAAAGCACATAAACTGCCCTAGGGAAACCAAATAATTTCAAGTTTGCCTTCTGAAGAAGTCAGATAATGCTAAATTAAATTTTAGTTTCTTTGCATAAAATATATCTAAGCATGCAACATTACCTTGTAATCATAATACATTAGAAAGTAATGACACCAATTAATAAGAAATTTAAACAAGTTTCAGGAGGAACTGCTGATGTGAATTGTCTGCTTTCAGCATAACTTTAGTTGTATCTTCGCGACCATCAAATAAGATGCAGTCAATTTCACCTTTCTGACAAAGATAATCAAATTCCTGATCCAGGGATTTCATAACTTTTTCTTTGGCCCTCTTGACTTTACTGTGATCCAACTACAAGTCTCTTGTCTTCTTCAGTGATCAAGGCAGCATCTATAAAGGTGGCTGTGCTGATGACAGCTATGGCACACAGGCCAATACCATATATGATGCTCTGCATGGCAATATTATGTATTTCTAATGTGTTGTACTCTGTATTTTTATTAGAAATGGAAGAACTACTTGGTTTTCCTAATTTCAGTGCATAACTTCCACCATTTCCATCTTGGGCATCAGCTATTTGTTCTTCATTTTCATTAGCAGATAAAATTATTTCATTTGATGGTATTGAACCATCCTGCTTACTTCTCTGCTTATATGCAGCAAGCCTTCTTTTCTTGTCTTCTTGCTGCTTCTGCTTTTTGACTTGTGTGTTATGCACAGATAGATCTGGCAAGCCAATCTGATGTGGTCCAATAGAACCAGTCTTCTCTCTCTGACCTTTAGTGAAAGCAAGTTCCTTCACAAGGATCTTCATCTCCTTAGAACACGTACAGTTAATGTGAGCCAGTGTGGTGTAGTGGTTAAGAGCAGTAGACTTGTAATCTGGTGAACCGGGTTTGCCTCCCTGCTCCTCCACATGCAGCTGCTGGGTAACCTTGGGCTGGTCACACTTCTCTGAAGTGTCTCAGCCTCACTCACCGCACAGAGTGTTTTTTGTGGGGGGCGGGGGGGGGGAAGGAGATTGTTGGCCACTTTGAAACTCCTTAGGGTAGTGATTAAGTGGGATATCAAATCCAGAGGAGAATTTTTTTTACATTTTCAGTTCAAGATGTCAAAAAGCTTGTCAAGTTTTGAAATTTCAATTTTCATGCAATTTTACACACTTTCCCCCACAAAACCTTTTAATAAGCCAAGTTTAATTGTATTGGAAATTCCACAAAAATGCTCAAAGGTCAATATTTTTATGTGGTTAGTTACCAAACAAAACTAAATGGTATTAATTTGACCAAAATATATTTTGAATTCCCAAGTCACGTTTTACAACCTTTTAGCATCCTTCAATTTGGGAATTTGAAAGTTGAAAAATTCAACAAGCCTTATTGCCCCAGCCACTTCATTGCTCCCAGGCTTTGAGAAACCAGGGAGCCAAGCATGCCCTTCCAAGTGTGGGATGGGATGTGGAGGTAGGTCTTCTCTGCATTCAAGTGTTCCAACAGGACTGCCAGCCATAATGCATGAAACTCCCATAAGGCTGTCAGGAATGCGCTCAGCAGAGTGGACAGAGAGAAATTTGTTTGCATCGCTTCAGAATTTCAGAACACAATCAGTCTATCAAAGGAAGCTGAATGTTCAAAGATTCAGGACTTTCAAGCCTAGCCCTCGCCTGCTGCCAGACACCGAGTGTGTAGAGGACGAAACCAGATACCCCATAGCTCAAAAAACTTGAGCAGCAAGAAGTGCCTCCTGGAGCCTGTGCTGAGGATCCTCTTGATGGGACTTCTGGGGGGAGACCGGCTGAAGAACCCTTGGAGCTGTCAGAGGAGAAGGTGGAGCCACCCTTGTTCTTGAGAATGCTGGGACGTAGCACCCAAAACACCAGGTCAACACCAAGGAGCAATGGCATGGCATTTACCTATGGACCTGGTCCCAGAGTCCCTGAGTAAGTGGTCTACTCATGAGTAAGCAATCCCTGGAATGCCTTTACTACGAGTAGCTGGGGTTAGGGTGTGGTCTAGAAGGCCAGAGCATTTCATATCTTCCCTTTGAGCCCTCTACTTGCTAGAAACACAGGTCTCTTGCTCCTTGTTCTGGAGTATATTCCACGCCCCCTTGCTGAACTCATTGCAATATTGACCATGGCCTATTTCTTGACCTGTTCAGGGATCACATTTGGTTTTAGAATGATTTCCTGAACTTGACTTTGATGTATTTGGACTGTGCAGTACCTGCAACCCTCCCTTTTACTTTGGTAAAAGGCTTATATTTCCTGGATAGAGACCCTAACCCCAAGGACATCCCCTGAAGCAAAAGGAAGAGCTCCTTCACGCAGTGCACAGTGAAACCAATTTTGATCCCACAAGATGCCTGGCTTCTGCCTTATATGGCTTTAAAGGGGGCTGGACAAATTCACGGAGGATAATGCTCTCCGTGGTTACTACTAGTTATAAAGGAGGTACTGTACTATATCCAATACTAGAGGCAGTATGCCTCTGAACTACAGTGGTACGTCGGGTTACAGACACTTCAGGTTACAGGCGCTTCCGGTTACAGACTCTGCTAACCCAGAAATAGTACCTTGGGTTAAGAACTTTGCTTCAGGATGAGAACAGAAATTGTGCGGCAGCGGCGCGGTGGCAGCAGGAGGCCCCATTAGCTAAAGTGGTACCTCAGGTTAAGAACGGACCTCCAAAATGAATGAAGTTCTTAACCCGAGGTACCACTGTACCTGCTTCTGGGGATATTAGGTGGGAGAGGCTGGTGCACTCCTGTTCTGTTTGTGGACTTCACATTGCAGCATCTGGTTGGTCAGTTTGAGAACAGGATGTTGGACAAGGAGGGCCTTCAGTCTGATGCAGCCTATTTTTATAATGCTGCTTTATTTTTTTTACTATACAACGCGCTATGGAAGGCACCACAAGGGTAATCTAGTCCAACTCCCTGCAATGCAGGAATCTTTTGCCCAATGTGGGGCTCCAACCCACAATATGCTTTTAAGTATATTGCTTTCATCAAGGCCCTTATTTGCCCCTTGTGCACAGATGGCGACAGTGAGGCAACTGCTGGGTGCTGGGCATCCTCCGCCTGGTTCCTTTGGTCCTCTCCTCCTGCGGCCAGTCCAGGCCCTTCCCTTCCCCGGGCCGCCCTCCGTCCCTCCCTCCGCAGCTTCACCTTGTGACTGCCCGGGCTAAACATTAGACGGGCCCCATTAATGGTTAATAGAGCCTTGTCCCCGCCGCCCCTTAAGGGACGCTCCGCTGCCTCTGTCTCTCCAGACACCCTCTGGCCGCGGCAGCTGAACGATGGCAGACGGTAAGCGCCCCTCCCCGCCCCTGCTTGGCCGGCTGAGCAGAGCTGCTCTCCTTCTCCCTCGGGGCGAAGAGACTGAGAGGGTCCTGCATCTGTTCTCCCCTCCCTCACGCGCCCCCAGCGCAAAATCCTAACTCAAGTAGCAGAAGAAAAATGCTGGAAAGCAAAGCAAATATCCCTCCCTATGGATTCTTTGCCCATCTTAGACCCTGTTGGAGGGCGAAGCTGTGCCGTTCTGGTGGCCTTACCTGAAAAAAGGACATTGTAGAGCTGGGAAAAGGATCAGCAAAAGGGCAGCCGAAAGGATCAAGGGTGTGTGTGTTTTTTTTAGTTTAGAGAAAAGGCGAGCAAGGCTTCTCTTAAGATAGGGGTGTATAAGATGATGTGTTATAAGGTGTACATTCTTTGTTTCTTCAGCTTGTAAACCGCCTTGGGGTATTGTAAAATAGAAAGGCGGTATACAATTTAAAAGTGAAATGAAATGACGGCGTGGAGAAAGCGAACAGGGAGAAACTCCATCTGTCATAACACTAGAACTCCTTGGTATCCAACCAAGTTGAATGTTGGAAGGCTCAGGACAGGCGAAGGAGTGTTGTAATTCGCTCCCCAAGCTGTAGTAAGGGCTATCAACTTGGATGGCTTTAAAAGAGAATTAATTAGACTCCTGGAGGAGAAGGCTGTTGAAGTCTGCTAACCCCGATGCCTCTGTTCTCCCTCCACTGTCAGAGGCTGTGTGCTCCTGAGTACCGGTTGCTAGAAACCTCGGGAGGGGAGAGTTGCTGTTGCACTTGGGTCCTGCTTGCATTGGGAAGTCTGGCTAGCCACTGGGGGAAGGGATGCTGGAGGAGATGGGTCCCCGCTGGCCTGGCCCAGCTGCTGTAGGGCTCTTATTGCATTTCTTGTTCCTTGGGTCTGAGGATGTTGGTGCATAATGACACCAAGTCTCTAGTGGTCCACGCGCTTTCCTTCGGTTCCCACAACCGCAGCAGCACCCCTAGAAACGGGGCAGCTTTGACTTCGGCGCGGGATTCCACCATGCTTTCCGAATTCAGGGTCCCGTCCTCCTTCCCGCTGCAATGGAGAAATCCTGGGCTTATAGGGAGAGTTCCCCACGCCCCAGAGTTTCCTTTCCAGTTTCTTCTTCCCCTAGAACTGAGCCCCAGACACCCATGGGGGCGGGGCTTTTGCCTGCCTTGGCAGTGCTCTGCTCGGCGCAGCTTCCCTATTTCTGTGGGGCAAGCGGGTGATAGAAGTAGAGAATCGTAGGCTTGGAAGGGACCCCAAGGCACATCTAGTCCAACCCCCTGCAATGCTGGAATCTCAACTAGATCATACATGGCAGGTGGCCATCCAACCTCTGCTTAAAAACCTCCAAGGAAGGAGAATCTACCATCTCTCGTGGTCAGTCCCTTCATTTCCCTCCTCACCGGACGGGCGGCAATTAGGGGGTGGAATTAGCCACGAAGAGGAGCAGGGAAGCAGTGTAGTCTGAAACAGCTGGTGGGGTCCTCCGGCAGAAGCACCTTTCCCCAGTATACAGGCGCCGCGGTAGGAGGAACTTCTTCGGCCAAGGACTCCAGAGTTCGGCTGGAAAGAAGCCGTTGCCGCCGACGCAGCTCTCGGGTTCCACCGCCCAATGGCTCCAAGTGCTGCCGCGGGAGCTCCGAGCCTGACTTTCCCCTCTCCTTTTTCTCCTCCAGAAAGGCTCCCCGAGACCGCGGTTGACAAATTCTCTTACGGTAAGGAAAGGGAGTGAGTGGGGAGGGGAGCTGTGTTAAACTTACGGCTCGCTTCCTACAGTAAGGGGTGGGGTGTGTGACGCCCAATCCCATATGGCAAAGCCTAGAAAATATTTTCTTTGGGTTGGGTGCAGATTCAGCTTAAACCATGGTTATACAGTGGTACCTCGGGTTAAGTACTTAATTCGTTCCGGAGCTCCGTTCATAACCTGAAACTGTTCTTAACCTGAAGCACCACTTTAGCTAATGGGGCCTCCTGCTGCCGCCACGCCGCCGGAGCACGATTTCTGTTCTCATCCTGAAACAAAGTTCTTAACTCGAGGTACTAGTTCTGGGTTAGCGTATGTAACCTGAAGTGTATGTAACCCGAGGTACCACTGTATTTGCAATTGTTTGAAAGATGAAACAAAGGCAGCAATACTTTCAAACGCAATAAACAGACTACAACAGTGCAATACATTGTACCACCAGAGTCATGCACCATACATTCCCTGTTATTAAAGTCATAAAGTTTGGGGTTGGAAAGTGAGGGTTGTATGTCTTTCCACTTCCTCCCAAATTTGTTCTTTTCCCTTCCCCTGTAAAGTATCAAAACCTGCTCTACTCCCCCAGCTTCAAAACTGGCAGAGATGTAGCAGCTAATTGCTCTGTTGAATTCCCCTGTAACTTAGCCAGGGAGGGGAGGCTCCCAAGAAAGCTGATGCTTGGAGCCAGAGGGACTCCCTGCAATTGCTGCATGGGCTTAGATTAACTCTCTCTCTCTCCCTCTTTTCCCCCTGAGATTATGAAACCATTCGCAATGGGGGCCTGATCTTTGCGGTTGTGGCCTTTTTGATTGGACTTGCCATCATCCTCAGTAAGTACTGCATTTTTTTCTGGGGTGGTGGTGGGCAGTGGTCTTGTCTACATAATGGCAGAGGGGAGTGTAGACCAGAGGAAAGAGAGTGCCAAAGTGGGGTGGGTGTCTCTGGGGGCAGAAAGGAGGAGGGAGGGAGCAGCTTCTTTCCTCGCCCAGCTCAACAATAAGCAAACTGGTGGTGGAGCCCCTGACCTACAAGACGTTACTCAGCATGCTCCTGATGTGTGTTCACAAAGGCCCATGCAAATGGGTGGATGGGGTGGGCACCATGCCTGCTGCTTGTGGGAAAGAGGAGCGGTTTCTGAGTGCAAAAGTTGAGGTAAAAATCCCTCCCTTTGGGTGCCCCGTGCCCCTTTCCCCACCTTCCTGCTGTCATTACCCCAGGGATATGCTGTAGGAAAATTCCAGCAGCCCTTGTGATCCAGTGGAACTTCCCCAGAGGAAGATTCCTGTATTTGGTCACAGGTGCCCCTTCAGCCCCTCCCTACCCCACAGCGAGAAAGTGAACTAGGGGGGCGGGGTGCCTGTTCCCCACCTCTCCTGAAGGTAGATCTGTTGTGGCCTGTCAGCACACACCCAGGCTCCAGGCGTGAGTGGGGAGGGGGGAAAGGTTCTGGTGAACTTCAGCCCTTGGCTCACACTTGACCAATCCAGAGACTGAAGCCCCAGATGAAAAATTAAGTTCAGCAGGTAAAGCTTCTCCTGACATTGATTGTTATCTCTATGCTAGGAAAAGCTTCACCTGCTAGATCTCAGGAGCAGGAACAGAAAAGGAGAGGAAGGGTCCTACCACAAAGCAACTCCCCTTCCTACCAAATCCCAAGAAGGATCTTCCTGCCTGCCTGAGTGGCAGTTACCGTTTTAGCCCCACCCCCAGCCTCTTTGACCTGCTTGTGAGGCCATTCCCAGTCTGTGGGTCACTGCAATGTCAGAGGTCCCCTATCCTGCTGTTAAAGAGTTAAACACTTCCCGCCTCACATAGTCACAAACACACTTCTCCATCCCTGAGCTTTGCTAGATTTTTATCTCAGTGGAAATTTCCAGTTCTGCAGCAGCACATGAAATTCAAGGCTCAGCCAGTGTTGACAGGTGGTGAGAGGGTGGAAGGCCCCCCTGAAATGGAGTGTCAGGAAGATAAGATGTGGGGAGGGCCACAGGGCGTGCCAACCAGTGTTCTGCCATGGAGAGATTTGGGGATTGTTTTCCTGGCAGTGGCAGGCCTTGTCAAATTTCAGCAGCGCCCTGTGTAAAGCCAAAATTTGGTGCTTCTGCCTCTCGCCTTCCATTCTACATCATAGTTTTGGAGCCACCTGCAGTGCCCCCTGATGCCCTGCACCCAGTGCGGTCAAACCAGTTGCACTCCCCTAAATCTGCCTCTGTTCCTGGGCTAAGTGGGGGTGGGAAGAGTGAGGTTATGGGGCAGCAGCAGGCTGTAAAGAAAACCTTGAGGAAAATATGGGTTGGAGGGGGGTGCCCACCATGGGGGAAGGCAGGGCACTCTTGTTTGTCTGAGGCCTCATCCTGTCTCTTTCATTCCAGGTCGGCGTTTCCGCTGTGGAGGAAAGAGGAAGCGAAGGTGGGTGCAATTTTGTCAGGATTTCCCCCCTGCCCCATCCCTTCTCTGGGCACAGACTGCATGGAAGGCAGTCTGCAGGGCACCCAGATCATGTTAACGGAGGTGTGGTCTTCTCCCTTCCCTTTTTCTAGGCAAGGAGATGATGAAGATGACGCAGTCTGAACTCTGGTATGTTTGGTGGAGGCTGAGGGGCCTCAGAGGTGCCTTTCCTCTGGCAACAGCTTGAAGGGGCTCTAGCCAGGTACTGCCCCTTGACCAGAGGGGTCCTTTGGGAAGGGAAGCCTCCAATGAGGGGTCCCCTTCCTTGCCCTTGCTAGTCAGTTGCTCATCTTGGGCTTCACTGCTGCTTGTTGCAGACCCTGTTCTCCAGGGCCATGCCAGGCCTTGGAGTCCCCTTCAAATCAGTCACACATGACCCAGTCCCAGTCTAGGAGATCAATTTCTGGACCAGGGAATGTGGTCATCTTGAGCTATCCCAGCCCAGGGAAGGAAATTTCCCCAAGGCTGTGCAAGGAACATGCCCCCTGGAAAGACTCCACTAACACCAGAGCAATTGCCTCTTTTTATGGATTCTCTTATCTCTTTATACTGCCCTGCCAGAATACTTGGCGCCTTACAGAGCTGCAGGAGCAACAATGGAAGATCCCTGCTCTCAAAGAGCTTCTAAAATTGAGTCATGGGGGAAGCAACAGACATGGAGGGAAGGATGGTGGGGCATGTATAGCTTGGTTAAGGTTGGTTCACCAACATTTGATCTCTTCTACTCTCCCCCTTTGCAGCACTCCTCTGACCAGCCGATGAGGTCCCTGCTGGAGCCAAAGGCCCATCACAGCAGCCAAATCTTTTGCACTCGACAAATGAACAGAGCAGCTTTCTGATTTCGGAGCTGCACCCAGTCTGCCTGGAATTCTCTTTCTGTAAAACAGATTGCTTTCTTCTGTGCTTTATTTAATAAAATGTCCACTAGGGAAGAGTGACATTTGTTGTGTTGTTTGTGCAGAAGGGAGGGGCAACTGCTCTTGATCCAATTTCTCTACCTCCTCTCCATTTGTTCCAGATGTGTCCAGGTCTGGAGCCATCTCAATCCTGACCCCATCATGGCCACTGGGCACAAGGGCTCCTTGGCTGAAAAGCACCCCTCAGCTTGCTGGGAGCAGCGCCAGTTCTTGCTACCATATAATGAAGAGCAGTTGGCATCACCTCCCCTCCTGTACCAGGTACACTGGAGGAAATGTGTGCAGGCCAAGATCTCAGCTTTGCCAGGTGAAAAGGCATTTACCGTATTTCTCTTTCTCCCTCTCTTAGTTGTTTGGGGAGGAGCCATAGCTCAGTGATGGAGCACCTGCTTTGCATGCAGAAGGTCCCAAGTCCTCGCTAGTATCTCTAGGTAGGGGTGGGAATGTCTCCTGACCCCTTCCTGAAACCCTGGAGAGTTACTGCCAATTAGCATCAATGATATTGAGCTAGATGGACCAACGATCTGACTCAGGATAAGGCAGATTCCTGTTTGTGAGTGATACCCAATTGGATTGTGACTTCTGTGGGCTTATTGGGACTGAACTTTCAGAGCAGCCAAAGCTGTGTTAGTGTATGTGGTAGCACAAGCAGCAGTGGAGATTCTTGGAGCACCTTAAAACAGCCTTCCCAAACCTGGTGCCGAACTGCCCAACTCGCAGCAGCAGCAGCAGCAGCAGCAGCAGGCATAGCTGATAGTCAGCAATGATAATGGGAGTTGCCGTTCTAAATACCTAAAGAGCAGGCTGGGAAAGAGTTTTTATTATATAGTAAATCAGATAAAGTGGACTCCAGTCCACAAAATCTTATTCATAATAAATGTGGAATAATCTTTATGCTGAGACGAGATACTGTGTTTGCTTATCAGAGTGAATCTACACCATAAATCTAGGATTCACAGAAGAAGTGAAGAGGAAAATTTGTGGGTAAAACTTCCTAAAGCAAAACCCACACTGCACGCATACATACTGCCAGCTCCCAGGTGGTTCTCAGACATTATTATTTTTGCTGGATGCCTATAGAACATATAGGCCTGCTGGCCGGGTCAGGGAATATGCAGCTGCCTCCTCTCTACACAGGATGCCTCTATTCCCAGGAGAGAGAATGAGCAGGGATTGCATAGAAAACTGCCAGTAGCAGAGCAGCTATAGAAGCAACCCAAACAATGTGTTTAGGGGCACTAGTGAAGCAGCCAGGTGTGCTCCAGAGGAATCCCTTAGCAGGATCCCTTGCAGTGTCAGACAGGATGCTCATACTGGAATCCTGTACTCCTTGTGCGGAAGGTGTTTGTGTGTTTCCCTGTAATGGCACCTCTCTCCCCTCTGCCACCCCCCTCCACATTTGAAACTCCAAATGACAAACTAGTCTGGCCAGGCCTGGCAAAGATGGGCTGGTGCTGCCACCTGGTGTCTGCCACTCTCCCAACAGCTGTGTCCTTAGGTTTTCAAGCTAACTGACAAAAGCAGGAGCCTGCTTTGTGACATTCTTTCCAAATGGAGCTTGTGCAGAAATTCCAATGTGTGTGCTGTCCTCCGTGACCAGTCTTTGGCAACGTGTCGCCAACCCTCCCCCCCTTCCATAAAGTGTGAAATGTACTGTAGTTGGATGAGAGCGATGGCTCTGGGCCACCTTGAGCAAGCTAGATGGATAGCTCAGGGTTCTAGGTTCAACCCCCATATTGGGTAAAGGTTTTCTGCATTGCAGGGGTTCCTTCCAACTCTACTATTCTATGACTCTAAGCAACCCCCTCAACTACATCTTGGCACCTGAGCTTCAGATGAGCATGAGGTTTAGAACTGCATATTCAGGCCATTGCCAGACACCCACAAGGCTGTTAATGGCTGGGCGCTAAACATGTGCATGTTGGGGGCAAGATACAGTACTTGGGGTGGGTAGGATAGATCTGGTCCTTACAAAAAAGCATTTCCCCCCAAAGAGTTGGAAGGAGGAGTGCAGAGGAGACACAGCTGAGATACTCACTGCAAATGTTTCTGTAGATAGAATTCTAACAGAAAACTCCTTGTGATAAGCGGAGCTGTTTGTGATGGAAATGCTGATGGGTCAGTTGCCTGGTCACAGCTCCACCTCTCTGCACATGTGTGGCCCCTTGGCTGGTCTCCTGCTGCAGCTTTTCTGTTGCAGACTGGGGGGGGGGGAGGAGAGGACCGAGGCAGACAGCATAGACTAATGGTGAACTGCAGGAGAGCCGCCTCCTCCTCCTGCCCCAGGACATTTTGTAGGCTGGACCAAAGGAGAAGCCCACTGCACCTGCAAATTCCATGTACAGGAGTGGCCATTGACTCTCACTTCAACGTGAGTAATGGGGTGGCACAACACCCTCTAGTGTACATGGGTGGCAGGAGGCCCTCTTAGGAGGTGCCTGTAGCACACATGGCTCATATTTTCAATGGATGGGAATGGCCCTAAGGCACTGGTTTTCAACTACTGGGTCAGGACCCAGTAGTGGGTCAAGGCCTGATTCAAGTTGGATTGCAACAGAGGCACTACCACCATGCAAATATATGGTAAAAGATTAAGAGATGGGTCCCCAAATGGATGTGTGGGTTAAAAGTAGGTCCTGGGTCTGGAAAGGTTGGAGATAACATGGCCTAAGGGGTTCAGGAAGAATGGATGTGTGTTTTTGTTTATTTGTGTGTGTGTGTGTTAAAGAGAGAGAATGAGAGAGGTGGCTGCTACCTAACTTCTGCTGCCTGAGGCAAATGTCTCTCTCTGCCTAATGCTTGGGCCGATGTCATCTGCACAGCTATTGAAAAGGCAGAAGACTCTCCCTTTTTACATCAGGTTAGAACAGAAGCTGCCTTCTGCTGAGCCAGACTACCAGTCAATCTAGCTCAGCACTGTCTATGCTGGCTGGCAGCATCTCTCCAGAGTTTCAGATGGGATTTTCTCCCAGTTGGAGATGCCAGGGATTGAACATGGGACCTTCTGAATGCAAAGTATGTACTGTACCACTGAGCTACAGCCCTTTCTGAAGACTTCTGACACTTCCGACACTTCTGAGTGCAATATACTAACTTGGAAATAGGCACATTTACATGAACAACTGGGGCTTCAAAAGTGTGGAGGGTGAAAAGCCAAGCTAGGCCCACTGCACCTTCCTTCTGGTCCTCCTACCTGCTCTATCAACAGACGTCCTTCCTATCAGCCTTGCTAGCCAGATGGAGACTCCACGTTCAGAGTTAGTCTACCTCTGAATGACAGCTTCCAGGGACAAACAACAAGGGATGCCTCTGGTCCTTATGCCCTGTTTGCAAACTTCTCAAGTGATATTTGCCTGGCTACTGCAGGGAACAGTATACAGATGAAGCGGGGTCTGAGTACCACAACATCAAAACATTCATGAACCAAAAAGAAGGTCCTAGGAAATTCATTTCCTTCCCCCCTTCCCTGTCAAAGAGAGAAGATGCCTCCTTTGTTACCATGATGCCAGTATCGTCTCCTCTGGCCTTTAACCCTCATAGCCAATGACCCGGCCAGCCAGCCAGCCAGCCAGCCAGCCAGCCAGCCACTTCTTCTTCAGTTCCCTTCCAGCCACAAACTCCCAGCTCAACCTTCAGCTTAAAGAGGTGCACAATTTAAAACATGCTTTCTCTGACCTCCAGTGCTGGAGTGAGCCCCAGGCCACCCTGCGATTCACAATGGAATGGGGTGTGTCTGTGTAGCATTCAGCAAGGCTCTCTGGTGGCTGACAGGGAGGAAACCCTTTTACCACACCTTCCAGAGTGGCGCTGGCTCCAACTTAAAGGTAAAGGTAAAGGACCCCTGACAGTTAAGTCCATTCGCGAACGACTCTGGGGTTGCGGAGCTCATCTTGCTTTACTGGCCGAGGGAGCCAACGTTTGTCTGCAGATAGTTTTTCCGGGTCATGTGGCCAACATGACTAAGCTGCTTCTGGAGAAACCAGAGCAGTGCACGGAAACGCTGTTTAGCTTCCCACCGGAGTGGTACCTATTTATCTACTTGCACTGGCATGCTTTTGAACTGCTAGGTTGGCAGGAGCTGGGACTGAACAATGGGAGCTTACCCTGTCACGGGGATTCGAACCGCCGACCTTCTGATCGGCAAGCCCTAGGCTCAGTGGTTTAGACCACAGCGCCACCCGCATCCCTCTAGGCTCCAATTTAGAGCTCCTAAACATCCACCCTAAATTTAAAAGATTGCCCCATGTATACACAAACTGAGTGAGGTAACAAACCATGTGCTATGATTAGGGAGGCTGCAATGGCCCTATGGTTTCCATTGGCAGACTCTCCCACTAAGTTCAAACAGAAGCTTTTAGATGTGTGAAACAAAGGGTTGGTGTTCAGCTGAGGGCCACTAGAGGTCAGCCTGGGTATACATTTTGCCCAGGAGTCCCTAGCCCCGGTCTCGAGACATTCTCCCCTTGTAAGCCAGCCTCTGCTTCCCTGACTCCAGATCTATCCTTCTCCAGGACATTTTCAACAAAACTTATGATGGAAATGCTGGCCTTCTATACATACGCTGGAATGCCTTAAAACTTTACCTTATTTTTCTGCAAAGTTTTGAACATTCATATAAACGTGTCCTCTTCTGAGCACTAGCCTTTTGTAACAAGGTGTGGGGCAGTAAAATGCAGATGGCAGGCAAAGTTTAAAATCAGCAAGGGCAATCCCTGCTTGCAGAGGAACAACTGGGAATGTACACTCTGAACACACCCAATTGCAGCCATAGATTTACCTGTCCAACCACTGATATCAGGTGTGGGGGAGGTAGGGGAAACGGGGACCCTTGGTAGGCCTAATTTGGCCCCATGCCCAATTGTTCAGGTATTTGGGGTATGGTGCCATCGGCATGACATCTTCTCTCCTTTCTGTATCATTGCAGGGAGTCTCTTGAAGTCACTGCTTGGCTTCCTTGCTGTGCAAAGGAAGGGAGTTTAAATAACATGGAGAATTCACAAACTATGAATTGCAAATTATAAGCTAGGCACATTATGTTATCCAGAGCTTCTTAAAGTTTGGTTTATATATTCAAACAAGAGCATTAACAAAAGGAGATGAATATTCAAATTTTTGTGTACTTGTCACCATCCTGCTTCTAACCAGGAAGGGGAATAGGTGGTTCCCAGAGCAGGTTGCCTTAATGCAAACTTGGTATTTGCAATAAGAGAAAGAAGCAATGCATTTGATGGGGATTATTGGTCTAATGTGTACCCTAAGCAAAGAGGGCAGGAGGAAGGTGTGATTTGTTTTCTGACCTTGTCATAGTTAAAGCAGGTTCCATGAGGTGCATTTCTCAAGGGGTGGGCAAAGTTTCAGAGATAGATACATCCATTGAGCAAGCAAACTGCTTGCTAAAATATCTCTGAGGTTTCTCTGCAGGGATGGGAAGTGATGTCACTGATCAGAGGTGCCAACTTGAATAAAATATGGGGGGGGGCAGGCAAGCCCCGCCCTGCATAATAGATCACATGATGCAGTGCACACACACTATTTGAATGGCAACGCTAATGAACTTTTGATGGACCCAGCCTCCTCTAATATTTTTGAAGGGGTGAAGACCCTTTAGCTCCTAGGAGTTGGCTCATATGTCACTTATGGAGTCATTAGTGAATCATTATAAATACAGTATTTGGCAATGGTAACAAGGGTGAAGAAGACTCCATCCCCAAAGCGGAAACTGGCTGACACCCCCCCCCATGCCTATTCTCTAGGAGAGGCAACCCTGCCCCTGAAGCTAATAACAAACCCAATTCTATATACAAAAAACGGGGGATGACTTATTAAAACTGGATTTCCCCCTTTATCTATCAGTTGATCCAAAATAATGTGTATGCCTTCTGAGAATTCGATGTGCCATCAAAACTAAACTGTCCTAAGCAAGAGAATGTCACCGTCTCAAAAATAATAAGGGATCGTTTCCCCAGGTGGCTGCAGCCTCAAAACAAAGATTCCTTTCCACGCTCCAAATGTGGCCAGTTCTCTGCATCCTCTTTTGCTCATCTTCCATCCATGCTTGGGCCCCACATCATCCCTCTAATCCACATAGATGGGGCGGCCCACTTGCTGGGTCCTTTGCTGCTTGAAGTGAACAGATTAAGGGGGCTGAAAAGCCTTGGCTGGATTTCCTAAGTGGGGTGGGGGGGGTGGGGAGTGCTGTCTGGGCACCAGATGGCACGCAGCACAGCATTTGCGTTACCCTATCCACCTCAACTTGCTTCCTACCCACAAGCTGCTCTAGTGTCAATAGCAGGTGAAGTGAGCAGCCCAGGGAGGGGTGTGTGTGCCCCATTGCAGACCAGCCAGGTGGGGCTCATGTGAGCCACAAACTCTGTGACCTGATACCTCCTGAGACCATCTGTCCAGGATCAGCAACTAAACTCAAAGATGAGCGATCATTAGGGTTCAACTGGAAGAAGCCAAACTAATCTCCTTGTAGAGGGGGCCCTGGGGACCTGAGAGCTGACGGAGAGGGGCAGAGTGCCAGGGGTCAAGCCACAGACACAGCAATGCCTCCTCCCAAATGCCTATCCATTTAAAGTTTACAAAACCAAGCCTCACCCTAGAAGTCAAAGTAGGACAAGATATTTAAAGTACATAATTGGAAAGATGGTACCGCTTGAGAAAAACTATAATACACAGCTTTTGGCTGGTGAGCCTATGCTAATTCTCAAGAGCCAAACAGCTTTGGATCTCTAGGGGTGTATGTGCCTTAGCCGATTTCTTCCCTGTGCCCACCCCCCAATTGCTGAGGCTCTTCAGAACCCCTATAAATTCACTCACAAATTGTGCCAACTGAATTTGGGGGAGGGCCATGGCTCATTAAAAGTGTATCTGCTTTCCATTCAGAAGGTCCTGGTTCAGTCCTCAAGGAGAGACCCCTGCCTGAACTCCTGGAGAGCCACTGCCTGTCAGTGTAGATATAATTGAGCTAGAGGACTTGCAGTCTGACTTTGTATATGGCAGCTCCTGATATTCCCTACAGTTGCATTCAAATTGTGTAGGAAGAGTGACATGCACTCTGGAAGTAATCCAAAGTAGATGTGGGCTTAGTGGAAACACAATTTCTTTCTCCTACACACACACACACACACACACACACACACACACACCTGAACACTAAGGTGCTGGGCTGTACAATGAAGTGGCTAAGTTTGCTGGAGTTTGCTGAATTTGTCAGGGTGGTTAAAACAAAAAGGGATTGTGAGACTATCCAAAAGAGAACACAATAGAACTTGGGGACATCCAGTGAAGCGGAGTGTTGGCTATCAGTGACTAGTAACCACAATGGCTAAGCTGTACCTCCAATGGTACCAAATAGTATGGGAAACAGCCTTACTAGAAAAATTAACCAATAAACTGAAACTGACGCAGGGACAAACAGAAGAAGACGCCTTTACCCCAGTATGGCTCCCCTTTATCACATACACAGCTCAACAAGACAATGACAATAACCCACCAACAGCATACAAATCAATATGGCTAACCTGATCCAAAACACCCACCCACCCCACTCACACATGAAAACAACGATCACCACAGCCAATCACAAACAAACAACCACACAATAGGCCAACCCCAACCTCTCTCACCACCAAAGAAACACAAATGAACAGCAGAGAACCGGCATGAGCAACGCTGACACGAAACCCTACATACATTAAGCAAAATAGAAACATCGCCACCCGACCCACCCCCCCACCCATCTTCCCCCCCTCCACCCCTTTCCTGCCCACTAATGTCTCAACAAATGAAACTGATTTGTAAAAATGTTACATGGAAAAAATAGGAGAGACATTATACATACTTCTGTAAAACAAGAAAATCTTTAATAAAAAAAATAAAATAAACACTGTTTGCTGGAAACTGCAGGAGGGGAGAGTGCTGTTGTGCTCAGATCCTGCTTTCAGGCTTCCCAAGGGCAGGATGCTGGACTAGATGTTTTTATAGTCTTAATATTTCCTCCTCTTCCTCCTCCTCCTGGCTTTGAAAGACTACTCTGAAGCTGCTTTGAATTCAGTGGTGGCACTGACCATGACAACACCCCCTTGCCATGCCCCTTCTAAGACGACACAACAAAAAAATAACTTTTGAACAATGTGGGAGCCATGAAGTCATGGCAAAGGCTTGTAGCGCCACCTGGTGCCTCGCTGACCTCGGTGACCTGCATGTCCATGCCTTGCAGTGTATTAAGTGCATAGCCTTATATGGAGTTATGTTCCCCCTCTGGGCAGTAATTACCCTATATGGCGATGGGTGGGTTTAAGCCATGACCGGATGTAGGTAACGTGAGACATTGGCAAATGGCCATGCGACAGGAGAGAACAAAGGATAATAAAAGTTACAGGAGAGGAGAGAAGTTCGAAAGGAGCTGCTCATACCATCCTGAAAATATTGCTGGCTCTCTGTGTCTTTTTATGCTAAACTGCACCATTTGTGACGGCTGGCTTCCATCAAGTGGTGCCCCCTGTGTGAGGCTGACTAAAAGAATATGTCTGAGGCTTTTAAAAGAAAACCGTGTGAGGTTTTTCGATCCACGCAACGGATATCATCGGCTCACCACGCCCGGCAAGGGTTGCAAGCGCTGCACATCTTAAAAAGATCCCGGTGAGTTCAATCCCTTTTATCTCGATTTTAGAAAAATGGGCAGCTCTTTGTCTACTCCCCAACAGAAATTTTTAAAAGACTTAAAATTTCTCCTCTCCTCCAACAAATTGGAAGTTCCGGAGGGTGATTTGATACAGCTTATTCTGGCCATTGATGAGCATTGCCACTGGTTTCCTGCAGATGGGACTTGGGAATTGAAACATTGGGACAAGATTGGGGCACATTTTCATGGGCACCCCAGCATTGGTATTCGGATTCTAAATGCATGGTGCAAGGTTCGTTACGCCATGGGCTCTTTATCACCAAAAAATATCTCCATGGCTGCATTGCCAACACAACCTCCAGCTTCCTTAGTCCAGCCTGCTGTGTTAGCGTCTGTTCCGATACTTGCTTTGCCAGCAGCCCCAGACCCCAAACCTCCAGACTACAGTTCCTCACCAGAGGACCCAATCCTGCAAAAACACTGTGGTGTGGCTGGCAATGATCCTGCTCTTTCAGCGGCAGAACCAGCTACCCCTTTTCAACGTGCAGTCCTTGCCTGTTCCTTAATTCAGGATACTATGGCATTCCCTGTTATTGTGCCCCCTGCTGGCGCTCCAGCAGGAACCCAAGCCCAACACCAACCTTTTGACTTTAAGATTTTGAAAGAGCTGCAACAGTCAGTAAAGGCCAATGGACTCCAAGCCCCATATACGCAGGCGCTTTTAGAAGCCACATTAGCCCAGCTCTTGGTTCCAGAGGACATCAAGCTTTTGGCCCATACAGTGTTACCCCCATCAGCTGGTGTTTTGTTTGCCCACGAATGGGAAACTGCCTGCCGTGCTTATGCTCCGGCTTTGTTACAACAAATCAGAGGAAATAATCCAAATATTACCCTCGCAGACGTCATAGATGCCATGATGGGGTGTGGTCCCTTCGTTCAGGCTTCAGTGCAAGCCACACTGCTGCAAATCTTATTGAGGGACACCACTCTTGCTGCTAGAGGTGCTGCACATGAGCTGCATCTGGCAGTGTTTGCCTTCCTAACCATTTGCCTTGCCATCCTTTGCTGCACCGTTATACAAGGAAGAGAAGCCACTTTCGAACTAGAAGAACAGCGTTGTTGAATAAGACTTTTGGGGGAGAAAATTATCATAAGATATGGAGGGATAATATTTTTGTACAATATATGATTATGTTTACCAGTTTATTGCATGCTTCTAAATGTTGGCTGTGTATGCACATGCCGCCCTTTGCCAGTCATTCCGGCATAATGCTTCATGGTGTGCCTGTCAATGGATCTTTTCAATTTACTAATATTATATCCCCTAAGCAAACTTTTTGGCCTCCAGTACAATTGACCCTCCATGAGCCTGCCCCCATTTATTTTCAAATTAAAGAGGGGAAAGAATCATGGGGCATATATCCAAACTGTCAATATACATTGAATTTCACTTTTAATAGCTCTTGTTCTCTTACAGGAACATACAGTGACCAATCTCAGTGCTATAGGAGTGACACCAGTGCATGGCTAATAAACTAGAAAGGAAGCCTACCATGCAGCTTGGAATCAGAATTCTTATATTCTTGGCTTCCGGATGGAAGTTGGCTTCGACATTTATTGATTTTAGTGATCATTATAGTAGTTATTTGCATTATTTTGTGTTGCTGTATCCAATGTATTCCTTCCTTAATCTCTATATGTACTGCATGGTTCTCCCGTCAGCGGCCTGCATCTGGCCTCACAAGAGTCGCCTATCGCGCTCGATATAACTGTATTGGTACTGATATATACAACTCTGATTAATAAAATATAGAAAGAGGGCATGTGGGAGCCATGAAGTCATGGCAAAGGCTTGTAGCGCCACCTGGTGCCTCGCTGTCCTCGGTGACCTGCATATCCGTGCCTTGCAGTGTATTAAGTGCATAGCCTTATATGGAGTTATGTTCCCCCTCTGGGCAGTAATTACCCTATATGGCGATGGGTGGGTTTAAGCCATGACCGGATGTAGGTAACGTGAGACATTGGCAAACGGCCATGCGACAGGAGAGAACAAAGGATAATAAAAGTTACAGGAGAGGAGAGAAGTTCGAAAGGAGCTGCTCATACCATCCTGAAAATATTGCTGGCTCTCTGTGTCTTTATTTTATGCTAAACTGCGCCATTTGTGACGGCTGGCTTCTGTCAGAACAATGCAGAGATTTATGACTTAATGCCAAGCCAGCCTTTTTCTCAATACCCCACCAGCACCAGGACCCCACCAGCACAACTGCTTTGGCTAACAATCAGTCTGATGAACAGTTCTGGGGAATTCAAAGTTTGCTCACTATTTTGTGGTGTTTTTGTTGGTCCTAATAATGCAACTTTGGATTTTAAAAAAAATAAAAGTGGCAGTGTAACCCTTAAGGATGCATGCTAATGCAACCTGCCCTCTTCCTCTGCTCAGCTTCTTTGGTAGGTTTTTCTGGCAGGGAAAAAAAGTTTTTCTTTGGCCTACCAAAGACTGACAAATAGCACCAGGAGACAAGGATATTGATGCCTCTGCTCTGAAATACGTGGTACTGCATTGCCCCAGCCTGTTTCTGCCCCATGGGTTTGGATGGGATTTTGAAAGGAAATACTGAGCTAAATAGTGATGTATGGAAGTGAGAGCTGGACCATAAAGAAGGCTGATCCCCGAAGAATTGATGCTTTTGAATTATGGTGCTGGAAGAGACTCTTGAGAGTCCCATGGACTGCAAGAAGATCAAACCTATCCATTCTTAAGGAAATCAGCCCTGAGTGCTCACTGGAAGGACAGATCCTGAAGCTGAGGCTCCAATACTTTGGCCACCTCATGAGAAGAGAAGACTCCCTGAAAAAGACCCTGATGTTGGGAAAGATTGAGGGCACAAGGAGATGCGGACGACGGAGGACAAGATGGTTGGACAGTGTTCTCGAAGCTACCAGCATGAGTTTGACCAAACTGTGGGAGGCAGTGGAAGTCAGGAGTGCCTGGTATGCTCTGGTCCATGTGGTCACAAAGAGTCGGACACGACTAAACAACTAAACAACAACATTGAGCTAAAAGGGTTAAAAACAACTCGATAGTGCTTTAAGGAGCTAGCTAGCTTAGCACCCCCTGCTACTTACTTAAGGGGAAGTAACCCAAGGCTGGAGAGCCCCAGTTATGTTTTGCATGACCCGCCCCACTCTCCTCTAGGGAACAAACATCCTTTGCTAGGCAGCTACACGACATCGTCAACAAAAGGTTGCTTTCGCTGTGCTCCTTCCGTTTTCCCCCTCCAATTGCAGAAAATCCTGCTTTTTGAAAGCGGTACATTCCACGTGAATCGCCTCGGCGCCGAGCTAGTCTTCCGGCTTTTAAAAGCAGTGAGGTCCTTGGGCGTGGAAGCCTCTTTCCGGGCTAAGCAATTATAGCCAGGTGGTGGTGTTTTAAATCAATCTTTCAACGTGTGCTTGTGTTTATTATTGTTTTAAAATATTAATTTTTTTGCACAAAATGGCTCAAACGAAAAAGCATTTTAGTGCAAAGTTAACAACTGATTTTTACACACACACCCCATGCTGCCTTTTGGTCCTTCTGATTGGTGCCACCACTGTGTTAATTCCCCCCCGCGGTGTCTTCTAATTTCTTCTGCTTTGTAACATCGAACTAGTAGCACTGAAATTATGAAAAAAAGCATTTCAGTGCAAATTGCCAAAATAATTTATAGAACTGGATGAAAAGTGACTTTAAAACATGAGATGCGGAGGTGAGCTTCCCTTCCTCGCCCACCCAGCAAGGTGACACGCAGTAGGGCAGATGGGGTACACCGGGATGAACACGTAGGGTACACGTCGGGATTTTTGTTAGGGGGGCAGAACCGATGCGATTGGTACGTTAGTTAATTATTTCTACTGTTTTACTTCATGGGGGGGGGGCAACTGCCCCCTGCTCCCCCTTGGCTACGCCCATGAGTCTGTTTCAAATCTGCACGCAGCTTCCAGCGGAAAAGCAACGACCCTGGGGTAAGCCCCGTCTGGAAACCCCCTTCGAAAGCCAACCCGGGAGCGCATTGTCTGCCTGCCCAGCGCTCAGCGCGCGCGGAGCTTTTGTGTAAGGTGCGAGGGGGCAGGGGCGAGAGCTGCTCCGATGCCCTCAGCTGTGAGGCTTTGGCATAGGCACGATTAATTGGTCAATTTCTATCATATTCTTCCTGCTTCTGTAAATTAAATGCAGCTTTTTGTTTTTCTTGGAAGGAAATAATTAATCCCCCACCCTCCTGAGGAGAGGCCATCTGCCCCAGCCTCCTGCCTCTGCCGAGCGTTTGAGCCTCAGCCCTCTGGGGGAGGGGATTAGATCTGGAGACGGAGGCTGCCTCTCGTGGAGCGCCAACACCTTCCGCCCCAGGTCTCAAAAGTGCTTTGCAAACATTCATTTATTCCGCCATGGAAGACCTAGCAGGGTTCTGTGTCGGGCGCAGATGGGGAGAGCGAGCGAGCGAGGGAGGCGCCATCTCCCCTGCCAGCGATCGTGGCCCAGAGATGCCCAGAGCCCCTTGTCATCATGTGTACCTACTCCATTTCATAGGGGATTAAAGTTACCACAGCTCCCTATAGGAAAGGAGGTATCACTGGAACTGGACACCAGAGAGAAACCAAAGAAGAGAATGGCTTTGAAAGGAGACGCCTCTTCTCCTCAGATGACACCTTCTGCCAAAGCCTAGGGAACCTGAGAGATACCAGAGCAGTGCACAAAAGCAGCATATTAAAGACCTGCAATATGTCACCCACTGTTTCCAGCTCTACCTCTTAATCCAAGCTGGGAATCAGTAGCCAGCAAGGATGGGTCTTAAAGATGGCATCAAACACTCATCGCAATTGGTGCCTGCCTCTTTTCAGAGGTGAGGGAGCTCCAGAGAGTTGGTTCCTCCACAGAAAAGGCATTTCCTTGGATTGCTGCTTACACTTGCTGGGACAGCCACCTCTGATGATCTTAGCAATTGGTCGGGTCCATTAGGGGAGAAGGTGTTCCTTCAGATATCCAGCCTTCAAGTTGTACAGAGTTTCGTGTCAGCAAGAACACCTTGAATTTGGCTCAGTAAAAAAAATGGCAGCCAATGCAGCTCCTTCAGAACTGGTAAAATATGGTTGTGGTAGGCTACTCTGTACAGCACTCCAGCCACCATGTTCTGTACAACCTGCAGCTTCCCAACAAGAACAGGTAAAGGGCACTCCTAGCCATTAAGGACAGTTATGCCTTCATTGATAACAATGGCGCTATTGGAGGAGGAAGATGCTAAAGACGACGGTGGTTATTCAGCTGCAGTTGTTCTTGGAGGGACCAGTGCAGGTTTTGGGCTCTTGAACCTTGCTGTACATTGTTTGGACTCCCTGTGGCATTGAGCTTGGACCATTGCCTAATCTTGTCTCTGGACTATGTTCTGGACTGATTTCCTGTGGCCTTTTCTCTCTCTGCCCTGCCCATTTCTACCTTCTGGGTTGATCCTGGTGCATAGAGATCGACAAGATGGGGTATTGTTTAAGGGTTGTTGCTGGGGTCAAGATGCTTAATTTTGGAAATGTGTGATTTTTACTTTCATCTGGCTTCTTCTTCTTTAACATCAAACAATCCATTGATAATCCATTGATAAGTCTGTTCATTAATATGTGATTTAACAAGCATATTGTTTATATTACTATTTAAATTTTGTTATACCTGGTAATTGTTAGTGAATTATCTTATGAAAACTTATTGATGTGTGAGCTGCTTTGAGCATGGCTTAACATGGAAAAGCAGCTCATAAATAAATGATGGTGATGATGGCGACAGTGTCATGCTTTTCCTTGATAGGCTGGGAAGGGCTTGGTTGTTGCACACGTCAGCACCAATGTAGGCTGCCGAGTCTACAAAAGGTCTGCTTGAATGGAATGGAACCGACTGCTGGCACTCAATAGCAAAAAAAGGTAGCAGGCAAGCTTTTAAATTTGACTCCAGGGAAAAGCTTGCAAGATCTGGGGAGCATTCAGTTCAGGAGATATTGAGCAAAAATGTTCATGATTGTCCAAATGAAGGTGGGGTGGAACTAGGCAATGAAAGAGCACCGAAGGAAGGCATGATAACCATTCAACATTCTTTCTATA